AGCATGTGCCGAAACGTGGAAACAATGATGGAAGGAGGATAGTACGAGACAAACTGAAGGCGATGGAGAAAGTCGAGCGTCGTGTTGTCTGAGGACACGGCGAACTCAAAGGACTCGGGGTTCGAAGTATGGGGGGGCGGCATGTGGTGGTCCTTGAACACTTGCTCCAGGTTGTGCTACATGCGTTGTGTGATCCATTCCTTCCCTAGAGTTCTTGATCGAGGATTCGACGGAAGGTGCACAAGCCTCCACCGCTGGGATTCGAACATTGAGAGCGTCCTATGTAACTGTCAAATAGGTTGGGGTTGGGGCATGCTGGTTCTGCGTACTGGAACTGACATCTGGACGGTGACCCAATGCTGCATGTCTCGAGCCAACGACTGGTATTCCAAGACGACAGCTTTGACCTCCGCTTGCTCTACCACGGCTTGATGCCGTTCGTCTTTGAAAGCGCGCGCCACTTCTTTCCATGACAACTCCAACGTCGAGGATGTGGAAGTCGAGTGTCGCGCCGCGAGGTACTGCAGTTCGGCTTCTAGCATCTCCTGCAGACTCCTCAAGTACAGTACACAACCTCCATCTTCCTGTCCTTCTTGTACTGACGCATTATGTTACGCATGTACGTCCGCCGCTTGATCTTGCGCTCCATCAACTCTTGCGTCACCGCATCGTCCGCCATCATTATTACAGTATCCCATGACCAGAATATGTCTGATTTGACTGGCCAATCAAATCCTCGCATTTCCGCACCCAGAGTAACTGTACCTCCAATTGGAAATGATTGAAAGGTTTCACTTTTTGGGCTTTGAACAATTGTATCTCAGTCAAAATAGGTTATTTATTGCCTTGACAATAGGAATACTTCCATGGAGAGAATTTCACTAGAAATCCGATTTTACTGACCTATAAAGTGTAAAATATTGTCTTCTTCGGTGAAATTTGGACTTGCCAGCTGATTCGAGATTCGATTTGAGTCAGATTTGAATCTTTTGCAATCTATGGTATCCACATTTGAAGAGATGAACATTTTGACTAGGCCAAACTATACTACTAATCGATGAACGAAACGTGTCACATGAAAGGTCGTAGATGTGCTGGATGTGGGTCTTGGCCTGCCGTCGGAACGCGGCTTCATCCTGGGGATGCATATGCTTTGGCATGTCAAAATCGTTGGCTTCCACGCTCAACGGGGACAGCGTCCCGTCTCGAACAAACGTTTGGCTGTTGATATACAAAGTCCGATACATCCACCGCCCCGCGCTCGCAATATACTCAAAGTCGTACCTAAAAGTGATATATATCACTTTTCATGTCATCGTGACATACCACAGCATGCGCGTCCGCTGCCGCGACCCGACCATCCCATACGCCTCGTCGTCGTGAATCTGCTGCGCCACCACCACACACCGCGTGGGTGTGCTGAAGTCCCCCACCAGCACATTGAACCACTCGCCTTTGGAGTTGGTCAGTTGGTGCAACGCCGTGGTTTTGGTTTGCTCTTGCACCGTCTATAAATTCGATAACATCAATCAAGTGTCCACATTGAATAATAACATCACATCAATCAAGTGTCCACATTGAAAAATAACATCACATCAATCAAATGTCCACGTTCAATAATAACATCACATCAATCAAGTGTCCACATTTGAATAA